GCTGAGGGTTCTGTGCCCTTGTTGAGCCACAGGGCACAGGATACATCCACACGTGGTTCCTTCTCCGTCAGAGGTCAGCCTGTGTCAAGATTTCTTTGCGTGGCTCCCATTTCCTCTTCACTAGTCTGCACCATACCTGGGCAGGTGGGATGCAGGGCCCCCTCACCTGCTGTCCCTGTGGGCTCTGCCTGCTGCTTCCTGATCTTCACACAGGGCAGTGTTCGGCATGAGCTTTTAGTGTCAACCACTCTGCCTGTTCCAGCTTGTCTGAATTTCTGTTTTCAATTTCTGCTTCCCTGCTCTATAGTACGTGGGTCTGTCCTTTCCACTTTATATCAGATAGGTCTCAGGTCCTCTTCCAGAAGCCGTGGGGCTATGGCTGTTCGAGAGGACACACACCACACCCTCTATGGGCCCTTGTGGCTGGGGCTCCCAGCTTCACCTGACCCATATGGGGAGGTCTGTTGTGCTTCCCAGGCTGGGGACGGAGCCCAGGCTCAGAGACGCACCAGTGCAACACCCCTTGGACACAGCCACTCCTCTCCTGGCTTTCATCTGCATCCGCATGTGGGGTGTGAACACTTGCCACATTGGGGCCCTCAGGCCACACTGTGCAGTGCCAGCTCCCTGCCCCCACCTGACCCCGTGGGTGCTGTGGCTCCCCAGCAGGCCGGGGGCCACCTCTGATCCACGGTGCCTCACTCATGCCAATCCCCTCCATGTTGTTGTTTCTGTGGGGACCAGGGCATCCTGAAACCAGCACTCAGTGTAGCCAGCTGCACATATGGCCCACTTCTGTCCCCACCTGGGGGTGCCCAGGCCCACTGGCCTGACCAGAGCCCACCCACTCCCTTTCCCCAGCCGGCAGCCCGGGAAGTCCCCTCCCCCGTGAGGACGACGGGGCATACTGGGACCATCCACGGCCATCGGTACAGTGTGCAGCAGCTGCTCCGGGCTTCATCTCCATTGCATCAGGAGCCCCAGGGGGACAACGCAGGCACAGCAGAGACAGGGAGTGTGCTGCGGCCAGCTCTTTATTCGGGGCCTCAGGGCAGCGAGTGCACGTGTGTCTGCAGCAGCCCACGTGCTCACCAGGACCACTGGCACACAAGCCGAGCGCCAGGGCCTGAGCCCTCTGCTGCCAATGGGCTGCCATCCTGGGCCTAGGACCCCAAGGTGTGGGCTATACTGTGACGCGTGCCTGGCTGATAGCCCAGGCTGTGTGACCTTCTGGCCAGGAGAGGGGTGGGTGAGAGGGGAGGCCTCAACGTCCTGTGTACCCCAGGCTGCCGCGGCTGGCGTGGGGTCTGTGGTGCCACCCTCAGTGGCCACTGAGTGCTGCACCCAGTGGCGTGAGCAGTGCTGTGCTCGGCGTGTGGGCCTGCGCCTGTCCTCAGGCTATGCTGCCGCAAGCTGCTCTGCCCACTCAGAAAAGAACTGCGGACCCTGTTTACCCCCAGGGGTCCTCACAGCTCAGGTCCCTGCTGCCCTCAGCGCCGGTGGCTGGCAAACCAGGAGAAGAAGGGCCGGGGGCGGGGGCGCGGGGCCTGGAAGACACGCATGGTACGGGGTGAGCGCCAGGCCTTGATGGTGGCGTCATCGCTGGCTGTCAGCAGGAGCTCCTGCTCCTGAGGGCTGAAGGCCACCGAGTTGACCACGTCCTCATGCCGCAGCTTGGCCAGGCAGATGTTGTAGTGGCGGTCCCAGATGTAGCCATGCCGGTCCTCGGCCCCGCTGTGAGACAGGGCCTGGGTGAGCCCCATGCCCACTGCTGGTGCCCCTGCCCCAGCCCTGGCCACCCACGCCCAGCACCCACACCTGGCCACAAAGTCCCTGCTGACGTCCAGGAAGATGAAGAAGCACTCGTCGTTGGGTGTGTAGGCGCGATGCGCACGTAGGGCCCGCTTCACCTCCCGCATGGTCTTGAGGTCAAACACCAGCAGGTCAATCTCCTCCGCGATAGGCGGCGGCTGCATGGGGTCAGCCACCACCGAACCAGGTGGCCAGGCACGGCTGTTCACGTACAGGTACCTGAGCAAGGGGCGTGCACTAGGAACTGACATGCACAGGCTCAGGCTGCTGGAGGCCCCCGCCTGGGATGCAGGCCCACCTGTTGTCGGGGGACAGCCCCATGCCAATGATGTGTCCATGCACGTCAATGACATGGTCCAGCGCATCAAAGAAGGCGTCGGAGCCCCGGCCCTCACCCAGCACGGGCCCCGCCGTGGTCATCTGGTGAGGCAGGATCTGCTTGATGCCTGTGGAAGACAGAGCCTACAGGGTCACCCCAGAGCACCCAGCCTGATCTGAACGCCCTAACCCCAGCATCTCCCACCACCCGGCCTGGGACTGGGTGTGCAGGGACCAGGGGATGTGAGCCTGCTGTGGGTCCTGTGCTGGCTCCTGGCCCTGCATTACCAATCTGGTGCGGCGAGTAGGTGAGGCAGCCGGTGGTGAAGATGAGGTACTTGTTCCTGGCAGTGCTGCGTTCAGGTGGCTTGGTGCGGCCCTGGGCCAGCAGCTCAGCCACCCTGGTCTCTAGCGCGCGCTCTGACAGCTGTGTGTGCCCATCCAACATGCCATCCAGCGCGTGCCGCAAGCCTTCCTTGGCGCGGCCTGGGGCACGCAGAGCTGGGCTGGCTGTCTCGTCCTCACTGTTGCAGCCCAGGTCAAAGACACGGCATGGGGATACAGCCTGGTCACCAGCATCCAGCAGGAGGTCGGGGCTGTCGAAGCGGCTACAGTCAGCCACCATCACCGTGCGGATGGTGCTGGCGTTGAGGTTCTGGATCTTGAAAAGCCGCTTCACCACATTGACGTTCTCTGACTCCACATCCTATACAGGGCACAAGTGTGGTGGGGGCCAGGCCGTGGGTCAGGCCTGGGAGCCCTGCTTGCCCCCCCGTGCCCTTTGTCTTGACCCCTGTTCCTGCTGCACCTGGAAGGCATTGTTGAGCCACAGCACAGAGCAGGAAGTGATGTCTCCGATGCGGTGCAGGTTCCCCGAGATGAGGCTAGTTTCTGTGAGCCAGCAGCCGAACACGTCGTAGGGCTTATTTCGTACTCGGGACAGCAGGGCGAAGGAGTCTGCGGGGAGGCCAGGGCTGGGCAGGCTGTTGGCAGAGGGTGGCAGCGTGGCCCAGCCCAGGGCTCCTGCTCACCTAGGCTGATGACAGCAATCTCACCAGATGAAGAGTTGTGTGGCCCCAGAAACACACCTGAGGCCAGCAGCAGCGAGTCATCCTGGTTGAACTGGGAGAACTGGGTGTAGCTCCAGTTGTAGGGCCTCATGTCTGCACTATGCAGCAAGGAGATGCTCAGGTCATTGTTCCAGATCTGCATGAAGATGTGGGTGGGTGGGACCTGGCCAGGACTCTCAGCAGGGGCAGCAGGGAGGCCCTGTCCCAGGCCCTCCACTGAAGCCGTCCAGAGGCTGAGAGCGACAGGAGACTCCCGTGTGACCCTGTCCTAGGCATCTTGAGCTCCTCCCATCTCTGGGTGCCCACGCAGTCCAGGCCTGGGGTGCAGGCCCAGTGACACCCTCACCTTCACCGTGCAGTCCTTAGAACAGGAGGCAAACTGGTACCCCGAGTGGGAGAAGCTGAGGTGCAGGACCTGGTCCGTGTGTTCCTGCAGTGTCTGCACCTCCACGCAAGGCACCGAGTCGTAGAGCCTCCGAAACTCCTCATACCAGGACGTGGCCGCTGAAGGCAAGACAGCATCACCTCTGCACCCAAGCCTCCTTCTCCACAGGCAAGGCCAAGGGCTGGGGCCTCCAGCCTCTGGCCACAGATAAGGCCTACCCGGGGGCTGCACCGTGTGCTCAGGGAGGACCCCCCCCCCGCTGAGTGGCCCTGCCCGTGTGGGTGCTGACCTGGGTGTCGGGGCACATCCCGGGCCACCTGATAGTAGCGGTAGAACTGCTCCCTCCACAGGAACTCATCGCGGGAGACCGCCTGCCACTGGCGGCACACCAGCCCGGCGGCCAGCACATCAGCCGGGCCCAGGCTCAGGAAGATCTGGTAGAGGAGGCAGTCGGGGAGCAGGGGCGTGCCCCCCTCGTCCATCGTGACATTCTGCCCGGGC